TATAGAAAGCCAAAATATTCTTTTCTAAATATTATTCTCTCTTTAAAATATTACCCTGGCAATTCAAACAAGTACTTTCATTCATTTCTGAAGTATTATTCAATCAGCCGAAAAGATACCAACATTTTTAAAGATACATATACCGAAAGTAAATTAATTTACTTTCGGCATTTACTCAAGTTTCGTCTCCAAAATAAATCTTTATACTCTTTTCTCTATAGTACCATTTCATCCCTGTCTAAATCAAGCTTTTTTCTGCCTCGTTTTGATATTTAAAACAATAATAACCCATACAATGTAGGAAACTTGGCAAGGCCGGAGCATCATTTATGTCTTTAAGTACCTTGTCAATTGGATGGCTAAAAGATTTATGGACTTCTGGCAGAATCTTCCAGGATTGGCTCACTCCAAGACGTTTACTCACCCTTTGAAGCTTGATACCAAACAGTTGTACTACAGTAGGGATGGACTTCTTACGGGTCACTGTTATTTGAATCATCATATGCAGAGACTCAAACTGTTGGAAGTCAGTGAGTGTCGCCTCTGTTCGGAAAATTATGAAACAGCAGAGCACATACTTTGTGCCTGCCCCGCTGGGGACTGAATCAGGTTGTTAGAGTTCGGCAGAGCCGTACTCTCTTACCATCTGACCTGAAAGACCACTCACCATACAAACTAATCGGCTTCGTTAAGAAGCTAGGTTTATTTGGTCGAGTGTGAATCGGTGTGAGCCACAATAAACCCTTGCGGGTTGCGGTGGAGGGTCGAATAGACCCACTCACTTTGAACCTAACCTAACCTTGTCAACTGTAGGGAGTCAGTTTCTAAAGAAATAATTATGGACTATTCATCTGATTGCATTTAATGATTTCGGTTAGTTTTTGGCGCGGAAAATGTATGGTTAGTGGTATATTCTCTGATAATTTTGTAGACGCTGCGACCACACACTCCTGTTTCATTTCTCACTTTGTTTACAACTTCATCTTTGAGTAATATTAGATTTTCTTAAGTCTTGTTTGAAATCATGTCCTATATGATGGGCAATATGGCTTACACACATCTGGTGTCTGCAGCTTTGGACTTATTACTAAATACAACTAAAAAAAAATAGATTCAAATTACAAGTGTGGACTTATATCACAAGACCTGTGCAAAGTTTTTGGCAGAGAGCAAGTTTTCACCTGGTTGAGTCAACTCGGACTATCCAATTTAAATATGGTTTATCACTCACTAACCGAATCTCTTCTGGGGTTTAATAACAACCACATGCAGGCCACTTTAATCCAACAAAAACGGGCAATATGGTACATGTGTGAAGCAAAAAATCTATCTAGATTCTTGTCGAACATCGTTTATTAAGTATAAAATTTTGACAGTAGTAACATCATTTCAAGGTCAAAGTGTGCTTTATTGTCTGAAGATTCATATCTTAATGACAAAAGCTTGGTTGAAATAATTTTAAAAAAATACACATAGTTTGTAGTTACATAGCGTAATACAACATTTTATGAAAATAGCCAATAAGGATGTATTTTTAAAATTTCCAATATTGACTACATAAAATGTATTGAGAGTCAGACACAAGTCGAATTGAAAATTATCTTGATAGTACTGTGATAAATTATAGTAAGCTCTCTTACAAAAAAAATCTTTCAAAACTTCCCTGAGTTCCTGTTATGGCATGAATCTTTTATATGCGAAAGAACGTGATTGAATATTTCCAACCCATTATAAATAGAAGGGTCTTTAATAAGGTAATATTTTGGAATGGGCAAATTAAACTTGTTTTTTTGACGAGTGGCGTTTGCCTTAATTGAAAACCAATTTTGATGTTTTACTATGAGACATATAGTTTCAATAATAAAAATCCTTAAACAGAGGTCTGCAACAATCTCATGACTTTGCTTTACACAGAAAACACACAGCACTTTTCTGTATAACTAAAGTTGATTGCAATATAGTCACAGTACATGCACCCCAGAAAGGGATTCCACATCACGGGTGAGATTCTATGAGAGACTAATATGTAACCATGTCAACCTCACAACATAAGACCCAGAGGACAACTTCGATTTGAGACCCCTGATATGGTCTTCACATTTGAAATAACTGTCAATAATTGGTCCCAGAAACTTAGTTGATGGTAGAAAATGTAGATTACCTATTCCAACCTCAAATCTTGTGTAAGACTTATATACAATGATTGTAAAATATATAACAATTCACCACTGGAGATATGGAAAATTAAAAGCTCAACTCAGTGAGACATCATACTACTGATATTCCAAAACTGAAGACATCTTGCGTTAGTGTAATTATCTTGGTCTGATGTAACATTACGTAGGTACCTTCATTCATTATTTTCTTACAATTCATGTTTTGTTGTCTCGTTTTAAATTATTTAGGTTAGTCTTCTGACTGATGTGTCTATTTTTTAAAGTATTAACATAAGATCTGCTTTGTCAATAAGAATTTTTGTTCTTCAGACAATAAAGAATATTTCTCTTTCTCTTTGAAAAATTATCTTTGTGTCATTTCATCCTGGCTAAATATCCATGAATTTAAACTTCGAAAAATCTAGTTATAATAATAATAATAAATGCTTCTATTGAAAAGATACTCAGTACAAGAGATACTAATCTAACATAACAAATGACAGAATTCAACATTTGCAAAAGATACATAAAGGCAGATTTTGCTCTTCCATCCGACCAGTATATAGACAAAGAACTAATGCCTGACGACATAAGTACACCTCACTTTTACAATAATTGTAGTATTGAATATACAAAAACCAGAAAATTTTCAGAATCATAGATACATCAAACTTTGTCAAGGACTACACTTATTCAAACACTCTTCAAGAAGTAAAACACAAATAACTGGTTAGAAAATTTATTTTCAATACTAGTCCAGTATCCTTTCCAACAGATTTCGAGATTTCTCAAGGGCAAAAGTCGCAAAAATTACATTGAAATTCATTCAAATGAATACACAAAAAAAATCAAATACCAAAATGATAGTAGAGCCAAAAATCCGGCAAGGCGTCACAAATACAATCAATTTTCCATTGCACTTCATTCGGCAATAATTATGCGTTCTTGAACATTTTCCATAATATAAATAAAAACGTTCATTCTGTATTCAACTAGGAAACATATTACATAATCCTTTCGTAAAATAGTAAATATGCCTGCGCCTCTAAAACCTTCGATTCCTGCACTTCTGATGCGTAAGAGTCACTAATATAGAACCATCTTCCGGGCGGGACTTCAGGTGCTCCCTGGGCCCCTTTCGAGGAACCGTCCACCTTTTGCCTTTGATTTTTCGGTAAAAACTGCCACCTGTAGCTGTTCTCTTCTAAAGGCGGCCTTACTTTAACGTACGCAACATAATGCCCACCATGAATGGAACCGCTATGTTCGACTACACCGTACAGAGAGTAGAGCACCTTGGTCTGCCCTTCTTCGAAGGTAGGTAGATTCTGGGACCTTTTTGAGCAGAACGGAGCTAAGTCCAAGAGCGTCGTGAATTTAACAAATTTTGATACTTTGGCCGATCGGAATCTATATACCTGCAATGAATAATATATTATTTTCATAAATATACTTATTGTAATGAATAATCAAGTTATCTCAACATTATATTTTATATCGGCCAACCCGTTCTAGGGATCACATGCGCAGCGTTATAGAACAGTGCTTTCAAAACATTGTTCTACAGCGCCATCTAGTGGCGAGTTACAGAAAAATTGATAGCCTAAAAACCTTCTCTATGAAAAATTACTTATACATGTCAAGTTTCATCACGATCAGACATTTTCAAACGAATACAATAAACTTATATGACAAAATTGCAGTAACGTTAGTTACAAATACAAGTGGTAAAAAAACATGATAATAATGATCATTATTATAAATGGGTTGGTGGATATTGAGTTTTTGCTGTGTGTTGTGAGTGTAAGTCAGCATTTTTGGTAAAAGTTTGGTTATTTTCTTTTATGTACATTACGAGTTGAAAAATATATAAACTTGGTAGAGTTAAAAGGTCTCCGTAAAAACTCTGTCAATATGTGTTGAATAACACAATAATATTGAACGATGTTGAAGAGTTAAAACTGCACCAAGCCAGAATATAGGAGCTTCAGTAAGTGGAATAATTCGAATGACATAGCAAAGAGAACTCAATTTTGTGGTTATGTTTTCCACGTGTAATTCTCGAGAACTTTCAGATCCAGAGTAAACCTCTGAAATTTCGTTGTCAGTGACTTGAATAATAATAATATTTCACAAAAAAATACCTTACCTGAAACCTCTTCAGATGCAAAATAAGGACAGCTGGTGGGTTATATATGAGCAGCTGTTTAGAAGCGTCGGTGTAAACCAGTTTGTTGTTAGGCCCCCCATGTCGTTTGGTGCACATTTCGCAGCTCACTTTGTTATTGCCTGCCATGAGTTCGCATTCCGTAAACTGATTTAAGCACGATTGCACCGAACATTCTCCTTCTTCACATTGGTATCTCGAAGAAATTGTTCCCGACCAAAGACTTTCATCCTCTTCCATGAAATCATCTTCTTCCATCTGTTGAAGAATATAATGAAACAGAAATTAGTTGTCACGAAATTGACACATAAATTTATCAGGCTTGTCGAAAATTTTGTGGTTTAGAAAAGAAGGTTTTTAGAGTTTGTTAAAGCATAAAGTGCTTTTCAGCTGTTTAAAAAGTATATAAGTGAGATACTACATGAAAAAACAATTTCAATGATACATGATATCCAAAAATGAAAAAACCTAGTTTGTATGAAATAACTATAAAATAATGGAAATAATCTTGTCTTGCTGATTGCGAGAAAAGACTGTGGTTCTAAGAAATACATATAATTAACGATATAATAATATAACCATACAAACGTTCAAAAAATATAAAAAGTCAAGAAAATAAGATTCTATAAAAGTTAGTCATTCTTAACAAACGATCACTTTTCCCAATTACCAGAAATGCAATAATCTTCTTGACACGCGTTTCACCAACCAAGTCGCCTTCTCCAGGAGATGAAATTTTTTTTTCTTCAACTTCTGAAGATGCCAATGTGATTGGGAAAAGTTCTTGTTTTGGATTTATTTTGAGCCAGAGGATCCGCTTTTACCTTTTTCTACTCATACTTATCATAAAATTCTTGCACACTATAGTATGGTCTCAACAGGAGCAAGTCTTTCAACTCTCTTTCGAGAATGTTAATGGTCATTTGTATGTCACCGAACTTGTTAAAGCATTTCGTATAATCTTCATTCGTTCCTTAATAATGAAAACCTGTTCCAGGTATGGAAATGTCGAAACATATTTGAATTACAATCACATCTAATATATATAGTTGAAAAATATTTAAATGAACTGAAATGGTTGATAAAAGTCAACAGTAGTTGAAGAAGAATATCAACGGCACATAACCTGTTGCAAGACAAAATTCATCCAAAAAATATAGTGTCGTCAATGATGTAGAAGGTTTTGGATTTCAGAATTTTTTTTCAGGTTTGACTTTTTTGATAGGCTTTTTTCTGAAATACTCTGGTAGTTTATTATATACACTTACAGATACAGTTATACAGGGTGTAACTAAATAAGTGTAAAACATTTAAGGAACTTAGTAGAGTTAAAAGGTTGCCTTCTTGAACACTGAATTGTAAGATACTGCACTGAACTGTAAAAACTTTGTCGATATATATTGAAGAGCTGAAGCTGCACCAAGACAGAATATAGTATTTTCTGTGTGTGGAATGATACAGTGTATATTTTGGATCACATACCACGACACATGTTTCACTATACAATAGCATCTTCTAGAATAGCATCTTCCTCTGATAGAAACAATTGGGTTGGTTGAGTGCCTCTCAGACAGAAACCATGTTAATCAAATATTCAAACAGGAAATTTTAGATTTACTAACGATTTGCCTAGCTCAAAAAATATTTTCAATTTAATGACAATTTTCACACTTGTAGCGAGGGTCTAATAATGGGAAAACCTTTGTGTCCTTTATAAGCTGAAATTTTCATAGACAACTTAATTAACATTTTTCATAGTGGAACAGATATGAAGATGATATCTTAGTCTGTTTCCATCCACCATTCGGTTAAATTCACAACTGAGATGGAGGTGATTGACCCTATAAATGTTCTAGATTTAACCATCACTAGAATTAATAATAAACATGATTTCGCAATTTTCCATAAACCACCTTACACGAACATCATTATACATACACAATTCATCAATATATCCATATCAACATAAAGTAATAGCATTCAATAGTATGATTAAAAAACTATTGAATATTCCTTTTTCAGAAAGCAATTTTCATAGAGAACTGATTTTCATGAAACATATTGCTGTCAACAACGGTTACAAGGTGGATATTATTGACTCAATTCTTTCTAAAAAATTGCAAAAACAAGCTTTGAACCAGGTCTATCCAGTTTCAAAGAATGATACTAAACATTATTGACTCTAACTAACTTTGGTGATCCTACTAATAATATCTCTCGTTTCTTAAAAAACAAAGAATTGGAAGTAGCATACAAAATAAATTATGATTTGAGTTAATTCGTTAAAAGCAATAAAGATAAAACTCCAGTGTCGGGTAGATCGAGAGTATATAAGTTGACTTGTGGTTCTTGTCCAAAATTTTACATTGGACAAACGGGAAGAACTTTTTCCAAAAGAATAAAATAGCATAGAAGTAGGTTTTTTGACAGAGGAGCATGAGTTCAATCATGATTAGACATAAGATGCTATTGTATAGCGAAACACGTGCAGCGGTTTGTGAACTATTTAGTGAAGTGTATTTTTGAATACATTATAATGAATTTTCATCAGTATTGGTCAGTTCTATTATATATATTTTGATGGAAATTACATATTTGCCATATTTGTTGCATTCAATGTCAGACTATTTTTTTGACAGTGGATGCTTATTACAATTTACAAGCAATGATTCATCTGTATGTTACAGGTTATAAATAGTGGCTAACTAAAAATACATTAGGTTCAATGGATCTTTACACAAGCGTCATCATGGCTTCTACTCCGAACAACCTAATCTTTTAATGATAATGATAATAAAATGTAATTTCACAACTTAAGTACTAAGTACCTTTTCATCCTCTTGTTCCATAGGTCCGCAAGCACCTTCCATGTTGCTATCCTCATCGTGGTTGAACAAGTTGGAGACTTTGGCAGAATCTCCGTCGTTCAGCAGACTGAGTTTTTCTAGGCCAGCTTTGAGGTCGGCATTTTTATTATTGACAAACGCTAACCTCGATTCCGGTCTTTCGAATTCTCCAACGGCACTATGAAACCCAAACAGTATGCATTATTATGAAATTCTTTGAATAATATTTAATAATTTATGACATCATAAGGTGGTGTGGTGTATATATACTAGAAAGACAGAAAAGTTCGTAGGCTAACGCACAAATGATGCCACTAGTATTGAATTAATTTGATTTTTAGCTAACCTTAACCTTCAAAAGACACGTGTATAAATTTCACAGCTGTCGGACTATTAGTTTGTGGGATAGAACATTTTGAGTGAGGCATCTGTTGTTAGTTTGAAGAAAATGGATGAAAAGGAATTTGGTGTGTTAATAAAGCATTGCTTTTTGGCTTGGCTTGGCTGGATAAACATAATTCGGAATTTGCACCAGGAAAATCAACAGTTGAGAAGTGGTTTGCTAAGTAAAGTGAGCACTGAGGACGATGCACACAGTGGACGCCCCAAAGAGGCTGTTACCTACGAAAACATTAAAAAAAATCCACAAAATAATTTTGGATGACCGCAGAGTGAAGTTGATCAAGGTAGCTGAGGCTCTAAAGATATAAAAGGACAATCGACGAAAAATAACAATGAATTGATGATCCTGAGCAGTGTTTGAAGTCAGCTCCACCATAGAGAACAAGAATTTATGCGTCGATATGTGATAATGGATGTAACATGGATCCATCATTTCACATCAGAATCAAAACGATCATCATTTCAGAGGACTGCACGTGGTGAACCGACTCCAAAGCGCGCAAAGATGCAACAGTCAGCTGGCAGGGTTATGGTATCAGTATTTTGCGATGCATATGGTATAATATTCATCGACTATATTGTAAAGGGAAAAGCAATCAACAGCGACTATTACAAAGCATTATTGGAGCGTTTGAAGGACGAAACGCAGAGAGATGGCTTTTTTTGAAGAAGAATAAAGTGCTGTTTCATCAAGACAATGTAACGTGTCACAAATCAATGAAAACGATGGCAAAATTGCATGACTTGGGCTTCGAATTAGTACTGCATCCACCGTATTCTTTAGATCTGGTCCTCAGCGACTTCTTCCTGTACTCAAACCTCGAGAATGCTCGCTGGAAAGAAATTTAGCACCGATGAGGAGGTAATCTTCAAAACTGAGGTCAAAATATGACCGCTATAATCGTTTTATCAACCTCCAAGGTAACTATATTGAATAATAAAAACAAATTTAACAAAAAAATTTTTTATGTTAGCCTATGACCTTTTCAGGCCAACTGCATAGGATTTAACGGATGGTGGAGTATGTGAAGTTGCTTTTCCGGGCGTTCATCCGTTTGGTATTCTTCAAAAGTGGACGGTTCGCCATCATCTTAGATGGCATTTCCACGACTTGTTATCGCTCATTCTTAATAAAAACGTGAGAAAATGAAATATAATCAATGCAAATTTGTGCAGGGAAAAATCTACAAATCAAATTACTGCAGATTTATTAATCTGAATAAAGAAGGGTATGAAGGGAAATCAATCAATATTGCAAATATTCTCAAATGTTATAAATTATAAAAATATTCACTGAACCTGAAATATGTAAAACAAAGAGAGAGGGATGAATTGCTTCACTGTGTAGATATTAAGCCAGGTTATACTTACTCTTCATTAGGGCTGTTGTTCCCACAAACGAGGCTACTACTACTATAGGTGTCCAAATTAGTTTCGCTCGACGCAGGACTATTATCTGGACTTTGAGGTGACACACTGAGCATGCCCACGCTGGGACTAGGTACTCCACTATCCACCCTTATATCTGGAGAAACTTCTCTATTATTTGAGTCCGGACTGCTGTTGTCTATCTTGTCGGAGTTGTATCCCGATTCCATACCTTTGGGAACAACCTCTCTCTGCATATTTTTCTGATCCTAAAAGATATTAACATTATATGTAATGATATTGATGGTCATATATTTTTGAGTAGACGAACGATTCTAGGACTGTTCAAAATAGTTTCACAGCTGATTATTGAGGATTCATACAAAACTTCCCAAGTCTCAACTGCAACTGCTTTTGACTGTTCGAGGACCGTTCACAAAGAGAACCCGAGTAGGGCTACAATGTATTTTAAATTGACTTCAATGCGTAATATGTATGTTCAGAAAATAATGGGAATTTGTAAAATTGACAGGTTTAAAGAATACGGTTGCCAAATTTTTTCATTATGCTTTTATACATCCCTCTGAAGAATGATAAGAGTTTTCAGTTGTATTCATTGTTTGCTTTGTAGCAGTCGTTAAGGTTAGATATGTTTTTCGTTTGAAAAAACACATGGGTCCAAGAATTTGTATCAAATTTTGCGTGAAGAATGAAATGAAGTATAACAGAGTGGAAGAAATGTTACTAATGGACTATGCTGAGTCTGTTATGAGCAAAACAAGAGTTTACTAGTGGTATAAGCGTTTCCAAGATGGCCGTGAATGACGTTGAAAATGAGGAAAACCCTAAAACACTAACAGTAAAAATTCCACACCCTCCATATTTACAGACATGACTCCTATTTCCAAAAATAAAGAGAATTTTAAAAAGCCGTTGAGTTTGAGTGTTTCAAGGATTGGAAGAAGTGTTTTGAGGACTGAAAGAAGTGCTGGTTAAGTGCTAAGTGCTAATGGGAACTATTTTCAGGCGACAATATCAATGTAGACGAAGTAATTATAAAAAAAACGAAAATTCTCGTTATTTTCTGGAGATACCTGGTATATTTAAATGTGTAGTCTTAACTTTTAGGGTGTAACTGCTCCCTACAAGTCACATATATAGTGGAAACACTACATAAATATTTCAACATTTAGTTTAATATTTTATGTAACTTGAGGTTTTTATTTCAATATGTAGTATGAATTCCCCATATCAAATAGTTTTCTAGGTTTTACATTGATTGCTAGTTCTTTATCTTTGATTCAGCTTTTAGATACATTTCATGATTTTGTTTTGTAACCATTGAAAAAGTTTCAAAAGATTAGAAGTAACTGATGTTAGCTTTCGGATGAATTAAAGAAAAATATATTGTTTCAAATATTCAAAGTAATAATATTTCTTATTTTATAAAATATACTTGCGAGAGGCGCACTTTTCTTTCTGAATCAACTGATATGTGAATTCCACAATACATTCTGATTTACATATAAACAAGAGCTGGAATGAGATAACAACCTCTACATTATCTTCAACATCAGCATCCGATTCACTCTCAGACTTGTTGACGAGGTTGGAATTAGTGAATATCATTTCATTATTCAAAATACTTCTGTTGTTCTTTTGTTTTTTGTTCTTTTTTCTTTCAGCCCGCTTCTCTTTCTTGATTTGATGTTTTGAAGGTTTATTGTCGTCTAGGTCTTCTGCTTTTCGTCTCAGCACGGGAGGAAGTTGTTTTTCACTAATCGGTAAACTAAAAAATAATATATTGGTAACAGTAATAATCATACTTTTGTGAATTCCACTTTACCTTAAATCCAGAAAGTATTCATCTCGATGAGAAGTATGACCACATTCTTGGCACTGCAGCGTACTAACAAGGACACCTCTGAAAACTTGCTCTGTCGGTGACATCATTTCAGATGCTTGTTGGCCATAGAATTTAATGATCTTTTTTTTATCTCCTTCGACAGTTGCCGGATCTGTTTTGGAATTGAAACCTAAAAAAATAACACTGCCAGTTACAAGAAAGAAGTGCAATATCATACAAAAACAGAATGAACCAATAATAATAATGTTTACTTCACTTGTTGAACAGTATGAAAGCATTACAATAAACATTTACATACAGTAACAAGGAAGATGTCTATTTATGACTAAAAAAAGAAAAAAGAAAAAAAGAAACTAATCTGGACATATAAAGGTAATTAACAATCATTTATCGAGAGNTGTTCTCTAGATAGGACCTAATCCACAAAACCCACAAACTCCACAAACCCCATAGCGATATGTTTTTTGGATCAGGTCATAGTCATCAACGCAGTCAAATGTATGAAATCATACAAAGCTTTTTCTGTGCTGTGTTGGTTTGTCGAAAGTAGTTCATTTTTGAGGAAAAATTGAATATATTAGAGAGAAAACTTACTCCTCTATAGTTCTTGTAGCTATTTGAGTCTCCTTTTTTGAAGATTGGGGTAACAATTATAAATTTGAATTTTTCAGGGAACATTCCTTGTTCCATGGAAAGTTTTATTATATAGTTCAGGGGGTAAGCTATTTCTTCCATGCATTTTTTCAGAAGATTTCAATATTTCATATTGGAAACACCAAAGGTTCCAAACAGTGCATCACAAGTACACAATTTGATGTTTGAGAAATTTAGTTTATTAATGTTTAGAAATCAACAGATGTAAAAATTCTGGATTATTGCTCAATGATCAAAGTTCTCAATTATTCCCATGCTCAACTCTGCAAAACTGTTACTTCTTGGGAAGAGATTTGTTATTTTTTCAAGTATTGCTTTCGATGGATTCAAGTCTTGAACTTCCATCTCATATGATATGCACAAAAAAATTGAGTAATGTTCATTTCTAATGTTTTATAAAAAAACTCTGAACTCACCTAACTTTTGCAAAATAACTGACTTGTATCTTTTCAGATCTTCCTCACGTACAGCCTCTAGGAGATGCCTTAACAGTTCGTGAGAATCATGTTGATCACCACCTCCAAACTGAGGCATTTTACAGATAAGTCTAGAAAAAAGCATTCGAGGAGTGTAAACCTCGGATCTGCCGCTAGTTAGTTCACTTAAAGTTTCTGCAAGGCTGGCGGTTAGGAGTCGCCATTTATCAGGGGAGCCTGAAAAATGTTCACCTGAAAACTTATAGAGTAATGATAAAATCTTGGTGGAATAAAAATGATGGATACAGTTGGGGCAACGAAAGAATACACGTGCTCAATGTGCATCTAATATAAGTAATGAAAACGCACCAATATGGCTATTGCTCCAAACAACTTGAAAGAAAAATTGCGTTTTTTTCAATTCTCTAATAAGTAACCTTATGTTATGATTTTATAAAATTCATCAGCACTTTATCAATTATTCTGTAAATACATTATATATTAAGTAACATATTCCAACTTTGATATCTATGAATTTGAATATTCCAGTAACGAAAAGTAAAGTAAGTTTATTGAATACATTACATATTCAAATGTTTGTAGCAAGTCATTTACAATCAAAATAAGTCATGAATATTGAACAACATTTAACATTTTGAAAATTATCTAAAATATTCTGCAGTCAGAAAAAAAATCAACACAAAGCTTGACCAACCTACATTTTTCAGTCAACAACAATAAACTGTCAAACGATAGTGATACGTCAACAACGGAACTCAAAACATTGCCGACAACTAACTCTCTGAGATTTTCCAAGTTATCATCCAAACAAGGATGCCACTAGAAAGTATATGTTTAATCTCATTTTTTATTGATGATGCATGTATATTGTTTCATTGCTCCAATTTTTTTTCGTATGTATGAAATAATGAAAGAGTTAGGAGCCAAGACATATGAAAAACTGATAGGCAAATACTCATTTTAAAAATTATTTCAAATACCTCACCTTCAAGAGGTCCCAGTTCCATAATTTCTTTGTTCTCAAGCACTACGTTGCCACCAGGGAGACGAAAAGAATGTCCTTCTTCTGATGTTTCTTCTAATAATTTCAATAAATATGGTGTCTGGCCAAGACATTGCATCACAGAGTTGAAAAAGCATGTGTTTCCTAAATTTGATAAACCTCTAGCTCTAGGTAGGTTTGAAGGTTGAAATTGTAGTGTCTTTGGAAAAGTGCCTGTATTACTATCTGGAAGTGGAATAACTCCTAAAACCTGAAAAAAATAAACAGAAATGGAACGACCTTATGAAAAACAAAATCGTTAACAAATTTTACTAAATATGTGACAGTACAGAGCTAATTCAAGTCAATCTTTTCTATTTCGAATGAGCCACAAACTATGTTTTATCAATTAGTTGGTGTAGTTTATGATAAAAAAAACAATCACAGTACATTATTGGAGTTTTTTCCCAACACCAAATCTTTATTTTTACACCTCGACACGTGTTTCGATCACCAAGTGATCATCTTCAAGAGGAAGATACAACTGAGATAAAACTGAGTAAAAATAACGATTTGGTGTTGGGAAAAAACTCCAGTAATATTCATTACTACACCAAAGGTTCCAAACAGTATATCACAAATCACAGTACACGTGTTGAAATACTATGATTTCTAAAACATTTATTTGAAACTTATCTTTTGAAAACAGTATTGTACTAGAATTTTTATATATAGACTTTATCAACAAACTATAACAAATTCCAAGAAACGAAGAACATAATAAAAATAAAATATTCTGTCAAATCAGGTGGAAATTTCAATGAAAATTAAAATGAATTCATTAGCTGAATCTTATATATTATGTATGACAATGAAAAAGTATTTCATAAAGTATTACTTATCATCAATTAATGTGTAATACTTTTTTATTTCTGTCCTGAATTTTGTGACATGAATGTAATATTTCATGTAAATGGTTACACTTATAAATTTGATACCATTGAAGTAAAATAATTTTGTCCAAAGTTACTTTGCAAGATTTTCAAATGATTCAAATGTCTGGGGTGAGATAATCATAGCTTTTTATCAGAATTGAAGACATTTTTTTAATTTTTGGTAGAATGGATGAAAATACCGATTTTTGACTTAAACAAAGAACCTATGTCCAATAGGATACTTGGTTTATATAGTTTATTTTGTGGCTCTGGACATTCATTAAAACACTTTATGGTTTAATTTTGTAATGGTTTTAAGCATGTTGATGCAAAATCAGTCTGAAACAATTTTCAGATATTTTGTGGACAAAAATGACATCACTCAAATCATTTGAAGACAATGATTGAAGAATCATCTTTCTAATATTTGAAATTTGTGTTGACATGTTGAAGTTATCAATGTTTATTCCTTGGAGTTGGTAATTTTTCATACTTTGAATTCTATAATTAGTTACTGGGGATCTACTTTTAATGTAACTGTAAAAAAACCTACTAATATATTTTAGGGTTAGCTGAATAAAATGTCTTCACATTCTCTTGGTGAAGAAAACAGAGCAAAGAAATCAACAATACTTTGTTCATTTTAACACAGAAACATTAATACAAGGTGACTTCATTTTTCACTCTTGCCTTTCAACTACATATCTTTTAGAAAACTTACCCTGTCAGATGATAATGGAGTTACATTGGGCTGTTGTTTAATCCTATTAGATTCAGCTTGTTTCCTAAGAAATTCTACTGCCTCCAGCAACTTTTTCTTGCAGGTCATATTAACTTCGTCATCACAGTCATAGCACCAAACACTCCAAACGGTAGTATTGACACACATTGCATGAGAATCTGAATGAGGAGTCTCGAAATGTTTCAAAGCATGTTTATTTCTACTCCTACCGCAAGACTGATTACCACATTTCAAGCACAACCATAAGGAAGTATCAAATTCTATATCTTCCATGTCATTATCGGCTGGTAACTTCGCACATTCCGGACAATCTGTTTGGAATCCAGTACGAGTGAGGGACTTTTTGATTTTTTGCAAGTCAACTGCCTTATTTATGTGACTACATTCAACGTTATTTTGATTTTCATCTCCAGATTCGGAAGAGACGTCCCCGTTGGGGTCACATTGATGTTTTTTATTCATTTTTATACCTTTGGATGATCTTGGTGCTAATTGGACATGACACACGCGTTTATTTTGTCTGCCCTCTAACCTTTCGTTTCCAATTTATGATTTTTCCAAATGTTTGTTCTGAAAGATTTGCATCTAGTCGAAGTGAATTGAAGAAAACCTTTTAAAGTTAACAGGAATGAAAGATGAAAGAGATTTATCAGCAAAAGATGTACTCACACTCCTCTCTCACAACTCAGCACTCAGCACACAACTTGTGACAATTGACAGTTTCGACATTTTGACTTCCGACATTTGACAATCCGATTCCATACACAGAACACCTATATACGTGCTGTGTGATTCCATCACAAACCAAGTGGTTTGTGATGTGATTAGAGTAAGTACTCTAAAGTAAGTGGTTTGTGTATTCCATATCCAGATCTGTTATCTCAATTACATTATTTACCAGAGCGAGAAAATGTAATCGGTTAGCTCCGAGATCAACTTCAGGATCAGACAGACTTTCCAGTTGTTATTCGTCAAATTTAAAAAATATGGTTCGGTTTTTTGGAAAAATTACTCTCGTGATTTTTTTACTATTGTCACCACATACTATCTTAAGAAAAAAGTTCATGACACATTCTTATCATCTGAATTTTAACGAGCATCCCCAGTACATCAAAAATAAAATATAAAAAAAATGTTTTTCTTTTCAAGAATATATAGTCATCTTTTCCTAAACTCTCGAATTACTTGCTATACTTGCATCATTCAACCACATTTTGATTATTGCAACTCATTATTATACTTACTGAATTTGAACAAAATATCTCAATTACAAAAAATGCAAAGTAGGAGGATGAGGGTAATTCTGGGATGTAATAAATTAATACCTATAGCTTTAATGCTGGATGCACTGAAACGGTTACCAGTGGTAAGCAGATTGTTTTATATGACTATGGCATTCATATTCAAGATAACACAGGGAGTTTAACCTGAGTATAATGATTTTTTTTTGTTGAATCATAACATCCATAATTATTCCATTAGAAATAGAGTAGATTTCCATATAGATAGAACGAATCTGAAAATGGCTATGAATTATCTGTTATTCAAAGATTCCTATAATAGACTTCTACAAATAATAAAAAATGCAAGTACAGTAACAATGTTTAAAAACATACTAATCGAATACATCAAAAATCAACCCAATATTGTTTATTAGGCATACAATATTAGTGATCACTTTTATATTCAATGAAGCCAGATGAAGCCATTGTATGGCGAAACACGTGTTGCGTTTTTGTAAAACAATTTAGTGAAAATCTCACAATAAAGTGTTTTTGGAATACGAAATTAATCCAGACTACAAACACTTTCGAAAGTAAGGTGAAGGAACTTCTTAGAGCGTCCTTTTATTCTCTCAGTGCCTTGCATTTGAAATGTGATATTTGTGTAATAAGGATGTAGCCAAAAGATGACATTTTGACTGAGTCCATTCCGCTCGACAATCTTGATATGTAAAGTTGTGTCTAATTCAACAGATATAATTAATAAAATCCCGCAGATGTAAATTGTCAACCTACTGTATAATCAGAATTTTCAGATTTGGATGAAACTTCGAATGATAGTAATAATACCGCACAAAATTGCAATGATACTCAAATTGAAATTGAATCTCAGAATAGTGATGATGACTCAAAAGAAATGCTCTCTGCTGATTCTCAAACTGAAACATTGTTCTTAAATGATCATATTGTATTTTCTGTTCATAGTGATTGTTCTCAATGTAGTACACAGTTCAATGAGAAAACTAACTTAAAACGTGTACATAAACCGCCAACCTACTTGAAAGATTTTATTTGTAATAATGATTTTACTGATAGTGACTGATTGTATTAACTATAATTAGTCTAATTGAAATAAATGCTACTTAAAAAAAAAAATAAAAAAACGTGTTGTATCAGGTATTTCGTGCTCCATTCTATGTTTTTTGACTGAGAGTCCATTCCGCTCAACAATTTTGATATGTAAAGTTGTGTACTAATTAAATCATTGAATACATGAAAACTATTGTGTTTTATTGACCGAGGATCATTAGAGAATATAACACCCACAACGGATTCAATATCCCCTGGAGCATAGGACAGCACCGGTGTCTCGTCAATACCGTAAGAGTGCCGCAGGGGGTAATAAAGAAATAAGGTGTTGAAGATAGCATTCCCTCAGTTTTCGATTTCAGCCCACTTGGCCTGAAAAAAGCGAAGGTAAGGCGCTTTGATAAGCCGAGGTCGTCAATATTATTGAAGATGACCCCATGCATTGGCTTATCCTGCAGTGCTGCCGCAGGACTGAAGTGATCTCTGCGGCTTTCATGTGGGCCTTTTGAACGAGTTCCAACTCGGTGATAGAGTTGTGATCACCTCGTTCAGTGTCGAAAACTAAACCGAGTTCACCAGCTGCTCGGGCAGCTGCCCTGTTGCCTTCCTGTTGTCGGAGAAAGTTCAACCGTGGAATAGACGATTTGGGGTGTGAACTCCTAGGGAGGTGCTTGATTTTTCGGGTCTTTACGTCCAGTTGATACAGCTCCTCCCCAGTCCGCTTCACTACTCCAAACGAGTAGAGTAAGATTTGAACGGCAAGCATATTTGTTGCAGCAACATTGTTCTTTCCCTACAGTTCTGATGACCAGATCTTCCGCAGAGAGAGGCCATCCCTGCTGTTACCTCTTGTGAGTGGCGTTGTTCCACCCCGAGGTAAGTATGCGCCTCTCCGGCATCCAGATAGTGCAGGATGCTTCCATCTACGAGCTGCACATCCTCTCCGTAATCCCCACACCGTTCTCTTTTGAGATGGACTATTGGACATTTATCTATCCCGAATTCCATACCGATATCATGCGTGTACTCTTCTACCACCCTTAAGAACTGATGGAGCTCCTTTTCTCCAGAAACATAAAGATTAAGATCATCCATATAAAACAAATGGGTGACCTTGTGCCTCCGGTTTCTGGGGTGGCNGAGACATTGATATTTGAGGATTTAATGTCCTCACTAAGCTTATTATATAGCTTAACCTCAATGCACATGGGGTGATTTTTTGATACTGTCAATCTTTAAACAGATTTAAACAGATTTACTATAAGGTTGATGTAGTTGGATATAGTTGGATTCATGGATTTGCTCATTTCTAGGAATAATTGAAATATCGTTTTTTATATATAATAATACCACAAAGGTCGACTTGTCATTCGTACAGAATCGAATGCTCGTTAAATATATTTCGCGTGGTATCAAAAAATCTGCATCTGCTCACTTGACTCTAGATTTTTAAAACCTAACACAAACAACTAATGTTTTTTTTTTATTTATTTCGTTACGTAATTTTATGTCGGTAACACTCACAGGCGTTTTTGAATAGTTGAAAATTACCTTGTAGAAGTAGATAACTATCTAGAATTAAAACGTTTGATCTACTTGGCACATCCAGACAAGATATAAGTTTGGAAACACTATTTCAAACTAGAGAACAACCTATACTTATTTTGTTTTCATAAAGATATTGAAACCTGTGCAAACGACAGCAACACGTTATATATCATCACAGTGTGATTTGTTGAAATATTGCTTGACATTTCAATTTCGTAAATGTCATTTCAACATCAAAAATTCTTGTAAGCATAAATTAAATCAGCAAAATGGGTGAAGCAGCGGAAAATTTGAACTATGATTGCAACTACAATATGTTCCTTGCCAAAATAATGCTCTCCAATTTGGCGAGAAGCGAAGGTAATAAACTCTACTTTGACGTTCATGAAACAAATTTGTTAAACATCTAACTATTTAGACAGACAAAAGGCGGTTAAGTGGATGAAGAAACTTGCCACTTGTAACAGAAGCATAGAGGAAATGAAACTGAGAAATGATTTCATGTATTATTTGGTGATAAATATACAGCAAGGCGAGTTACAACCTCCATTTACGGACAACCCACCTACTAGTCCATTACCTAACATAGCTCATCTTTTGGTAAGTAGGACTTATCCGCCTTGTAAGTACGTATCCGAAACCACATCATTATTTTTGCTCTTCTATTTACAGTTAGAAAAAGTATTTTGGAACATATTTCGTATTTGTTCACAAAGTTGAAATGTTACACCGATAAGTTTGGGGCAAACCCCTGATTCAAAATCTTGGTGATTTAATTATGTAATGGTTGATTTATACACCAAATATTTTATCTTACACTTTTACTTTGAGAAAGTTTTCAGAATGTAAATCAATGAACGCGCCAAACACCACACTTTTACTTTATGCTGTCGTGTATGAACGCTCCTATTGTGACACCAAAGTTTGGTGGAAATGTCAAACTGAACAGAATTATTTAACATTATTGAAATGATCTGGGCGAAAAACGTTATCTGTCTTTTTAACTTTCTTTTTTCCTCTTGTTCGAGTTGGTCAAGATGCTGAACAATAGGAAAAAAATATTAAATTATCGAGGTTTTTTATAAATATTTTGGAATTGTCGTGAATGCAAATGACTGCTAGAAGTACCTAGTGTTATCAATAGTAAATTTCAAACATTCCACGAATATTATTATCCTAGAACAGAAAAATGAACAATGTTATCGAATGAATTAATTCTTATTTTTGAAACGATGTGATTCTGTTATTCAGTAATGAAGATTGTAATTATATGAAAAAGTATTTTCTGTGAAAAAGGTGTTATAATATGGTTTTCCGTCAATCAGTTCTTGCCCCTTACGAAAATAGACAACCCTCAGGAGTCGAAACTCACTTGAGTTGGGGATTAACGTGTGATTTCAGTGAAAATTCAAAATCCTTCATTTGTACCCGAGCCAACCTTAACAAAGAGGTTGATTGAACGAGTAGAATGAACCACTTACGGTAAACACCTGGCTACCGACCGATCAATGGTATGAAATTTACATGAAATATGACTTCCGATTAACGCTATTAGATGGTACGGACGAGATCTCGGGCGCCAGCCTCGTGCATTTTGAGTGACATAAGGCACCACTACACCGGGCAGCTATAGTGAAGAAATGGTAATCCAGAAGTCTGTGTGAACTAGACAAAATCGGTAGCCAGAAAGTCAGATTTTACTTGACTTTGCTGGGAATTCAACCTGTTCACCAACTGCAGAGATGATTCACTATTCTAAGAAAATTAACAAACAAATTTTAAACCAGACCAGAACCAGAAATCGGTTTCAACTCTTTATTTCAAACCGAATCAACTCTACCATACGATCGCTAACTAATTACAGAGACGGGAGACGGAGGAATGTGCAACGAAGGGAGTCCTTAAACAAAACGGCAGGAGTTAAAATAAGCTTAGCGATGCTAACGGTAGGTAGGAAACGCAATCAACCACGATTAATCAAGCATGCGGGTATAAAAAGCTCTGTGCAATTCACCTCCTACTTGAGTCATATTCTTTAAACTCCTATAAATATACAAATTACGGGTGACGCTTCGGATTCAGCACTCGCGACCCCGAAGTTTCGAGAGCTATGACGATAGCTGACAAGCCTACCGGACGAAAAGGATAGCCCAAGTGGCGAATACCACAAAGGACCGGAAATCGTGAGAAGAGACGTGTGAAGAAAAGGTAGTCCAAATGGCAAATCCCACAAAGGGCCAGACACGCGGAGAGATGATTGGAACGGATGATCCAAGTGGCGAGATACTATAAAGGATCGTAAAACGTAAGAGATGCGTGAAGACCAAGTAGCCCAAATGGTGAATACCACAAAGAGTCGGAAATGCGGATAGCAGTTTCGAACACATGATCCAAGTGGCGAATACCCCGAAGGATTGAAAAGCGTGAGAGAAGACGCGTGAGGAAAATGTAGTTCAAGTGACGAATACTACAATGTAAACGGGGAGAGAAGTTTCGTATAGATGATCAGGGTGACGAATACCATAAAGGATCGGAAAACGTAGGAGCCACGAGATGATCATAGTACAAGGCTAGACACAGTCCCGACGCGAACTCGGATGGCGGCGGACAAGCACTGACTATAATTATTATTATGACCTACGTACGAATGTTTCCTACCATGTATGATTAACTCCCCCTCTGGCGGCTCGCTAGGTCGGTCGGCACATACTCCAGTTGGCTTGGTTACCCTCGTTTCCTCCGAGTCCAGTCGGCGGTTCTAGGTGTGGCTTGGTTGGCTTCGGGTCGTTCCTTTGCTGCTGGCGGACTAGACTGCCTATTTTCGCTAGGCTTGTTCTGGTTCTCTGCTCGGAATGTTCCAGTCAAAAAACAGTCAACCAACTGTATACTGAACATTTTGTCGCATTAGCCTTTTCAGTCCACAACTGACTCACTGATTTTGGACAATTCGAAACAGTACAAACTGAAAACCAGAACAAACCTGCTGTCTCGCGAAGGCGAATTGCGCCCCACCACACACGTTCCCTACCTTCAGCTCTGACGAGGTGGTGTACGTCATCGCTATACTATAGCGGGTGCACATTAACGTAAATGTATTTACGGCTCAATCTATCTTTTCGAGTCAATACCCCAAAAGAATGAAGAATATGTGTCTGTTCGCGTCGCGATATTTGCGTTCTGTGGACCTGGCCTAGATATGATACGAGTATGATTTTATTCCCTCTCCCCAGAAAATTTTTCTGGATCCACCTTTCTTTCAACCATTGGGAAACTATGTGATTTCTTATATGTGCGGTTATTCTGTATTAATTTCGACAGTTTTGGATTATCTTAAAATATTTCCTTAAGGCTAAAATAAGATTTTGAACAACTCCCAAGTGATGAATAGGCAGGCTATAAAAACCGATGAAATTCCATAATTCACACTTACAATTGTGCAATAACAGTTACAACTGTGAGTTTACAGTTGAACATGCCAATTCAGAGTATTAATTGCAAATTGGCAAATTCACAGTTATAATTGTAATTTATGACCAACAGAGTAAACTCCTCGCATGTAGAATTTGTACCAGGCCCAATAGATGTTGAAAATTCATTCGGTATATGATTTGTATTTGAACAAAATTTATCCTGTAACCTAACTGGAGAGCTAGATTCAACTATTTTCAAGAAAAGGTTTTACTAGTTATTACAGATTATGTTTTGTAATATTAACAATTATATACTTAACGAATTTGTAATGAATGTAACGTACCTTTATATCTCCATCTTCAACGCGCGATGAAAAACACACTACTTCTTGAAGCTTTTCATTTGTGCTCTGATTTGGACCAAACTACGTAATTTTTTTCAGACGCTTTGTACATATCCATGTTTCTGTTTCAGCCAGGAGGCGTCGCAGAAGTAGAGGTGAATGAATTTGGTGAAACAACTACTCAACAAACGAGAAAGCCGATGTTGTACGAAAATTCACCTGATGGAGGTGCATTTTTGGCTGCTCAACCTGTACCGAGGTGTGGGGCATTTTGTTATTTGGCCGTAGTTGCCAGAGAGCCAAAACATGATTGATTTTTTATATTTTACAATAATAGTGTTTTTATTTTTGTGCTTTCATATTACTATTTACTCATTACTTTCTCAAGTTGATTCTCTGAAAAGAAAATAAACTTTTACTTCACCCAAGTGATCTAAACCGGCACTGCTGAACCAATGTTTTAATTCGAGATAATCAACCAATTTCTATGATAACTGCAAATTGGAAATTGTATGAAGTAAAAATGGAGGCAGATATTTTTCAATATAGTACAATAACAGCAAGGACGTATATCCCAAATCTTATTTATTACTCCACATTTTCGTTTACTCACCAAAATACTGCATTTGTTCCAAATTCGTATTTATCAAAATGAAAACGCTCAATTTGAAAATGAATTATAAAATAGTGTACCATGATTAGTTCACGGAGTATTCTACTAAACGGTGTAATTTCGTTGCCACTTCTCAATATAATTTGTAAAAATTACCAACACCAACTCTTAACGTTTCATTACCGGGTAAATTGCAACCCTGAACTGAATCAGTGGTACCATTTACGGCGAATAATCAAGCATGATCAAATTTATAGAATTATAACTACAATCACTTTTTTTGTAGTTTAGCGATAAAACATCTACACCTGCAGGGAGGGGGCTATGAAAACTGAGTTTGACCCTTCTCTTGAAGATGATCACTAGGTGATCGAAACACGTGTCGAGGTGTTGAAAATAACGGTTTGGTGTTGGTAAAAAGCTCCAGTAATATTCATTACTACACCAAAGATTCCAAACAGTGCATTACAACAACATAGATAGATAGATATTTGACAAATATCCCCAGGAAACAATTGAATCGAAAGTTCAGAACAAAAGGGGAGGAAAATCAAATGGAACAGATCTGCCTCTAGGTGTTTGATCTCTCGTGTGCAATACCGATTATGCCGTCTACGACTACATAATATTGTTGAGTTGGCACGTTAATGAGTACGCCAGTTACATTTATACCAGAATCAAATTATATCAAATATCTTCAAGTTGATATAATTTTCTGGTATAGTTGTTATGCAGTTGAGTTGTTTTAGGTAGGCTTTTGTAAGTTATAGGTAACGCGGAAGACATTCAACTCGGTAGATTTTATTGGTTGACATTAATGTCAATTGATGGTGGAAATATATAATTGGTATACTTGCAATTGATAGAATTGTCTAGTGATATGGTAGAGTGTCATAGGGGTAAATATATAACCGGTAGATTCATTAATAACGTGCCGCTTAGTTTTATTAAAATGTTTTTTTCATTATGGTGGAATTAAAGAAAAATATCTTGACTAAAATAATACATTTTTTTGATTAGGTACTATAGGTACTTAGTGATTTTTGTTTACTGAAGTGTAGAACATATACTTAAATATTTACCTAAAAAAATTAAAATCTTCTTGACTTATATTTGCGAAATCTTCTCGGCAGGTTTGCGGTTTGCCGCCGAAACCGAAACCAGTTTTTTGGCGAAACTCGTCCGAAACCGAACTTTCGGTTGGACACTAGATATTTGTTTCGAATTTGGGGTGCCTCCAAGCGGTGGTGGCGGCTTCACCTGCTGACAGGCGACGTTTGGTGTATTGCATCTTAGTCTTAACGGATACCAATAGGTGGCGATGTTAAAGCTGATATTGCGCGTCGTGAAGGTCGGGTGACTTTTTTGAACATTTTGTGATTAGTCGCTCGATTTACCGCCCCCCTTGGACGTGCCGCCCGCACGCAGTACATACCCGCTTATGGCAGGCCTGAAAAGGAGTATAAACTTAGGACGGTGTATTAATAATGCAGTGATTATTTCAGAAAAGAGTGCGAATGGGCTTCATCAAATCATCCATAGAAAAGGAGATAAACTCGTGAAAGGTTATTTATTGTCAATTCTTCAATATCTGTATCCAAACTAACCGAATTAATTATCGATATTGAACTAATTACATACCCAACTCGTCAATTGAAACACATGAATTTTGTCGTGAAGATCTCATAATTTTAGGTCTCTTCGCTTAGTGAACAAAAACATACAGGGTCTGTCAGTTGATATGGCACCGTTCCAAGAGGGACAACCCTTGAACAGGGGTTTTGTTTAGAATCAAACAACGGTAATGATGAGTAAGCATTTGCATCCCTTGGGACGATGTTATCTATAGGATACACAGACAAATGTTCCTACGGACGTCCATAGCAAACACCAGCTTCGACATCGCACGCCAAACGAATAATTATCTTGTCTTTCTACATAGCTTTCAATTCACCAGATTCTACTTGTCTTATCAGTGGTGCTATTCTAACCCAGTGTCAAAGAACAAGCGTGACCATAAGCACGAACTTCTCCACATGCAATGACGCAAACCCAACCTCTTATTCGTTCATGATAAACAAAAGTAAAGTAGTTAACCTTTCCTTTACTTTTATTGTGACACGCTGATCTAAGGGAGAAAAGTATCTCAAGATGAAAATAAAAATGAATTTCGGAGATTTTTAATAATTTATCATCATCATGGTTTTACAAAAATAATTAAGTTTAAATACGGTAAAAAATGTAGAATTTATTCACAAAGTACATGTGATGTCATTGTCTTTATTATATAAAGTGATGAATTCACAACACTCAGCAGAAGCAGTATGAAAATACTTTATTCAGATGAAATTTATTCACTCTCAAATAAAAACTCTTCAAATAAATTAACTAAATTTTCGATTCCATTCAAATAATTTCTATCTATATCACAGTTTTCAGCAGGAAAAACATGCGCAAAATCTATCATCTTGGCCGTAGCCCAACATTCAGATTTTCTATCACTGCACAACTCGTCCAAAAGAAATGTATAGTCTTGTTTTTTATTCTGAACGTCTTTATCGTAATTGTTTTGAAAAGAATGAGTTCTTTTCAAACTGTGAATTGACTTATGCCAAGTGTTGTTACTGTCAAGACTAGGAACTTCTAAATTAATAAGTTTGTTAGGCGATCTTGGCGGTTGCAAAATTGGCCCCTCTTTCGTGAGTTGGCCGCTGAATCCGGTTTGTACTTTTTCGGAACTGTTCAGTTGGGCCATGCTCATAGGGCGGTATAGACTGCTTTTTCTTGACAATTTCAACGAAGATGCAACCTTGACGTGTTTAGTTTTTTCTCGAAGTCGCCGGGCATCGTAAACCAGCAGTATCGAGGAGGAATAAAGTCTTAGCCTCCTTTGATTTCTGGCCCAGTATTGGATTTGCCACAAAGCAGCCAAGAACTGCACGATCAAGCTCCTACATACTTTGCCACCATCAGCATTTAAGAAGGTTCGAATTGCTGTGAAACAAAATTACACTGATGAATAATGAGACTTAAAAAATATTCGAATTTATTGTATTTGAAATAAACAAAAAAGGATTAAACTGAATTGGGAAAAAGCAACGAATATACATTCTGGATCAAAGTGTTCGAGTTGTTTCTTTCATTGAATTAATTTGGACAATGGGTATCAATGTATACGGAATAAACAATAAATAAATATTAATACCGCTCTTATGGTAGCAGTGTTTGTGTTGGTTACATTCTAGTCCTGGTTCTACCTTTCAGAACACTATTTGTTATTATTCGTCGATTCTGAAAATTTTACTCATCTTTGCTATTATCTATTATCAAATCTATGGAAATAATACCTTCGTAAGATAACAGCATAAGAATGTAAGTGTCTGAATTTCATTAGTTCGGACTTCCATTGTCTAATATGATACAAAATGATTTGAAATCTCTGAAA